TTACCGTTGTTTCATGTTTAATCACTGATAATTTAAAAATATTCGAATTGAAAATCATCATCTTTATTTTTCTTATAAATTCAATTATTGACAAGAGACAATGACATTTGGAATCAGAGAATTTGCCAACCAGCGTTGCCATATCTTAAATTAATGTTTAGTCCGAATTCCATCCACTAAACTATTTTCGAATAATCATGAATCGACTGATATTTTGTGAGATTAGTTAATAATAATAATAATAATGCGGCTTTATTATTCATTCATCAAAATGTCAACAAGTACAAGTTAAGAAGGAGTGGCGATGTTCAGCGGAGCTGCTCTTCCACATAACCACTCCATTACAGCTAAACATTCAGCGAGTTATTAGAGGGTATACAAACTACATTGATAGTACAAATACAGGTATACAAAAATAATAAGTCATCAATTTATGATACGAAAGGTAACCAATGCATCATTCATTAAATATAAATATGTATATACATATATATTCTTTCTCATGTTTTATGTGTGAAATAAAATTGTATTCATCCAATGTATGTACGCTGATCCATCCAAGATTTCGTTATCATTTGAATTTGCATATTATTTTCTATGTGGGTTTCTGAAAGCTATCAAAGCGGTCTATTTACTCTTTTTATATTCGGTTTTTGGTTGCGCTCATGGCGCGTTGCATATAGCAGAGAGCTTGAATAAAACGGGCTAACTGTTCACATGGAAAAGTTGGTAATGGCAGTACGACTGCCAAGTTCAGTTGAATTTCATGTATATCTCCTCTAGAAACCATTTTTTTTTACATTAATGCTAGTGTTTTTACCACTACTGTTTGCCAAAGTGTATGGTATGATGATAATATAGCAAGAATTTTTCATTTATTTTCTGAAAATTCATGTGGTTCTGTCAAACAGCGAACTTTTTTACGCGAGAAGTTTGCCTGGCACCGACTTTCTAGCTTTATGACCTTGGTTAGGTTAGTCATCGCCGCCAGGAGAGACGACGTGTATTTTCCATTGAATTAAAGATACGATAGTGATTGAAGAATTGGGAATCGAGGTCGCTCTATTGCGAGGAGAAGGAAGTGATCTAATAAGAACAGAATGGCAGGAATATATATATAAATAAACATGAAACTCCATTTACCTATCTCGAGATGTCAAAATTTGGTTACCTACTCATTGCCTACAATACCTAATTATTTTTAACGAACAGGAACTCTCAGATGTCAGAGATTATCGATGATATATAGAGTACCTATCATATATATTCAACATACTTAATAAAGAGAAGGAATCAGAATTCAGTCCGAATCTCATGAACTGTGTATATAAAAAAATGTATCATGGATTCCAATACATACATATCAGAGATATTATTTTGCATGTATTTCAATCATTTCTCATTATGTGCACCACAATTGAACTAGATTATTTTTGATATGTTGGTATAACAATGACCAACTTACAGCCTGAAATCCAATGTGAATTTAGTGAATATATGAATAGAAATGATAAAAATAAGAGGGATCCACAATATATACCACTGATGTTAAAGCATGATACTGAATTTTTGGATTGAAACATTCCTGAACATGAGTATAGAATGAAGAAAAAAACATTATTAATACATTCTCCTGACACAACTTTGGTTAAATTTCTGCATATTACTGATTCCTCGATGGACTTGAATTTTCTTATAGTAAGGGAATTTTTTCGCCTCATGGCAACGCTGCAATTCGCTCCATTCTGAAGTCAGAGATAGCGCCCCCCGTGACAGTTTGGCGAACTTACTCTTGTCGGTAGAAGACCTGGTTGGAATATTGTAATATCAAGTGGGCTGGTTGCCTATTTGATCGAGAGGTTTTGGGCACGCTTGAGGATAGGGACTTGACACACCAGTCAATTATAGCCACCTTACTGGTAATATACCTCAATAGATACTCATTTTGGAAGAAAATGAACACATTCTTCTCGCATAATATCTACAAGTTCAACAAAATCACCGATGGGTCAGTAATAATAAAATCAAAATTCACACACAACTTTGTATGTCCCCCGATCAGCTGATAAAAACGACAAGTGCGCCATGTTGTGTCGTCAGCTGACATTGCTCTATTAGTTGCCGAATAACTCAAAAAATTCACCTCTTCATCACTGGAGGACTTCTACAAAGAAAAGTTGTTACGTTATGCTAGATGCAGGGATAACAAAGTGTTAATTTATTTTACGAAATTTTGCAAAAAATTTGTTGATCTTCGTGTAGTGAAAGTTTCTGAAGATCATGTTACAGTTACTTCAACTGTAGATCAGATACTTTTGTACCAAGTAAATACGAAGTTGGAAGTGTGTGACTGTCCAGAAGGGGCAGGAGGGAAATATTGCAAGCTTCTGTGCGCTTTATATAATACTGGTGTGCAAATGCAGAACGTTCCTTATAATATTTTATTACAAGACAAAATAGAACTTGCTACGTTAGCATTTGGAAATACTATCAGTGGTGCCAACTTCTTCAAAGAAATATATAAAGAGAACAGATAACGAGATTACTGCTGACTTTGGCGAACCCATGACGTTGGAAACGGAAGATGGCCTCAATGAGACGTCTCCTGATGAAGAAAATAATGTTGCCGTTGAAGTGAACGAAACTGAAACTGATAAATCAGCCGAACTCAGAGAATTCAAAGACAACTAAAAAATCTCATCCAGCACTATTGCCTATTGTCACGGAGTTCAATAGGCAGATGAAGAAAATGGATAGCGAAGCATCGTTCTATGCTTTATTTCTAATGGTCCGACTATACAGTCTGTCCAAGATAAGGTTGAACAGCATGGGGATCTCGAAAACGGTAAGAGATACGAAATCGGTTAAATGGGGAAAAAGTTGCGCATTCGGAGGCTCATATAACGAGCCTTCGAACATTTTAAAAATTTTTAGTTTTTGAGTTATATCGAAAAAAGTGAATTTTTGGAATTTCTATTTTATTTTTTTTCTCCGTTATTATTAGAGATACAGCAAAACTGAGAATACTTTTTCATAGCAACTTTTGATGACGGTCAACGTGGTGATACCGATTTTTTCATGCGACGTTTCGTATTCGTGGAACCATCATCAACTTTTGTTTTTTAAATACGGTCCTGATAATTTTTCCACAGATTCTAAAAGGTTGTTTTATTCTGAATTCAACCATCTATTATACAAGGTGGTTCATTTGTGTTTCGACCTATTTCCATCCATCATCAATGTTTTTTCGAAACTCCAAAGGAAAAATGCCATCAGTTCCACTTATTTTGAAGGAAAATTAGTCAACACACTAATACCTCATCAACTGGTTTCAATCAACAACCCATTTCATTTTGCGGAAACAAAAATTCCATCCATACAAATTCAGAATATGTCAAGCGCTAAAACCAGGAGATGACGAAAGGCGCAAGACATCCTGTGAGTGGTATACCAGGAAATGTTAAAATTTTGCAGATTTCTTTCGAACAATCATCTGGACTGATGAAAGCATGGTCACTAATCATGGTAGCTTCGATAGAAAAAATGCACATTATTGTTCACGAGAAAATGAACATTTATACATTACAGCGAGACACCAACACCGTTTCGGCTTTAATATGTGGGTTGCAATATTTGGTACACGAATTATTGTTCCTTCTATTTACCATGAAACACAGACTTCCGAACGTTATAGAAATTCGCTTGAGAATCATCTTGAGGAAGCTCTGGATGATTTACCGATTGCGGAAGTTCAGAACTCTGTTGGTTTCAACAAGATGGCGCTCCGGTACATAATTCCAGAGAAGTCCGTGCGTTTTTATCCCTTGGCCGGCGCGGTCGCCTGATTTAACACAGCTGGATTTTTTCTTAGGGGATATATCGAACTTTGTACACGCAAATAACTTTGAGGATGAAGAAAAACTAAGGGACAGTGTCTTCGAAGCATTCAATAGAATAACCCCAGAAATGCTTAGCAATGTCTTAGAAACAACTGTGAGAAGAGGATATCTTTGTTCAGAAAATAATGGTTATCATTTTGAACATTTGTTATGAATGTCTCTGTAGGTATTGTCAAAGTTAAGTTGTTAAAGTAATTCGTGTAAGAATTCATCAACAATTTTAAACGCTGCATTGATCGAATGATGTAGTGAAATATTTTTTATTCACTTTTCAGTATTGAATAACTAATCCATCAAGTTTGACACTAAATGATAAGAAATAAGTGGAACTGATGGCTTTTTTTCTTTTGGAAGTTCGAAAAAACATTGATGATGGATAGAAATAGGTCGAAACACATTCGAATCACCTTGTATAGTACATTGTTGAATTCAGAATAAAAAAACCTTTCAGAATCTGTGAAAAAATTATCAGGACCGTATTTAAAAAACAAAAGTTGATGATGGTTCCACGAATACGAAACGTCGCATAAAAAAATCGGTATCACCACGTTAAACCTCATCAAAAGTTGCAATGAAAAAGTATTTTCAGTTTTTCTGTATCTCTGATAATAACGGAGAAAAAAATAAAATAGAAATTCCAAAAATTCACTTTTTTCGATATAACTCGGAAACTAAAAATAATTTTCAAAATTTTCGAAGGCTCTTGATATGAGCCTCCGAATGCGCAACTTTTTCCCCATTTAAGCGACTTCGTATCTCCTACCGTTTCCGAGATCCCCATGCTGTTCAACCTTATCTTGGACAGACTGTATATTTTGTTTATATTTTTTGTATAGTTGAATATTCCGCATGATCAAACTTCCGTTTTATTGTCAAATTGTGTCTTCTTCAAACTGAAAATCAGTGTGGAGAACAAAATCTGTGAATAGTCCCGACCCATGCACTACAGAGCAGTCGTTGGTCGTTGGCGTATAGCGCATATCAGATAGGAAACGGAGTGCTCCAGTATGCACTCCAATGCCTATGCTGTGAGAGCGACCTATCGCGCTAGCTGTATAGGGAACGGGAAATATGCCTACCGTTCCATCCCCGTTGTTTCAGCCGCAAACCGCCGCCTCCGCAGCCCGCCCTCACGCCTCCCGGTCCGGGCGGCCATAGCGACAGCTCGGGCAGCAGCGGGCAGTCGCCGGGCAGCACGCACGCCGGCTCACCGCCCCTGGTCACGTCGTCGAAGCGGCCCGGCTTCCACGAGGGCCCCGACGGCTTCGCGTACAAGAGGCAGCGCATCGCGCACAACACCAAGCCGGCGGAGCAGGCGTACCATCACCAGGGGCAGGCGGGGGGGCAGCAGGGGCAGTTCGAGAGTGGCGGGCAAAGGAGGCCGGTGACGGATTTGCGGGACGCCAGGTGAGTGGAATCTATTGAGTATGATACGATAGCAGGTTTCTCATAATGAATATACAGGGTGTTTCAAAAAAACCCAACCCCCTCGCTAGGGTAGGTAGAACATTGCAAAAAAGGCTGAGTTTGCTCAGTGGAAAAATGTAACGGCATCCGTTTTCGAGATACAAGGTGTTGAAAAAATATTTTTTTACACATTTTTTACGATTATGTCGAAACTACTGGGAACATTGTGATGAAATTTCGTATGGATGTGTTCTGAAAGCTGAAAAACCGCATGAATTTGTTTTTATATCTGACACTCATAGAGGGCGCTAGTTACACGGTTCGTACCGAATACTTTTGAATATAACTTTTTTGAGGTTAGATTTTTCAGTCCATATTCAATGTGAACTTGAACACCATTTAATTTCATACCAAAATGATGCTCTTGGTAAAACTCGATACTGTGTACCGTTTTCGAAATATTTCCATTAGAAAATGCTGAAACAATAACTCTTCTGGTATTCTGGTATTAGAATAAGTATTATAAAAAACAATTATCTATTCATTAAGGACAAAAAAACATTAACATTATTTACTGCTGAAGTTATCGATTAAACAAAATCACATCAGAAAATATTTAATCAAATTTGACTCAAAACATCATCTAGTTTGAGTAAGTGTCCAAAATGTCCTCCGTTTTCACCAATTCACAATTCGATCCTTTTTTTTTAAGAATGCATCAATCTTCTCAACGGTTGAGGATCAGCTATGAGATCATCGAAGTGATGTTCAATCCTTTCTTTTATAATACTTACTTTCAACTAGCATCAGTGTTATACTTCAGCATTTCATTCAAATCGAAATATCCCGAAAACGGTACACAGTATCAAGTTTCACCAAGAGCACCTTTTTAGTGTAAAATTGAATAATGTTCAATTTCACATTAAATTTGGAGTGAAAAATCTAACCTCAAGAAAGTTATGTTTAAAAGTACTCGATACGAACCGTGTAACTAGCGCCCTCTATGAGTGTCAGATATAAAAACAAATTCATGCGATGTGTCAGCTTTCAAAACACATCCATACAAAATTTCATGACAATGTCGCCAGTAGTTTCATCATAATCGTAAAAGATGTGTAGAAAATATATTTTTTCAACACCTTGTATCTTGAAAACGGATGACTTTACGACATTTTTTCACTGAGCAAACTCAACTTATTTTGCAATGTTCTACCTACCCTAGCAAGGGGGTTAGGTTTTTTTGAAACACCCTGTATATTAGCAAAAATATAATTTTCAGATGATAATCATGACAATCTATCAAACTAGTGTCAATAATCATACATAGACCACTTGAATTGTAAAATATTGCTGTGGAAAAAGATACAGGGCGTTAAAGTTGAATATTTTTTTTCGTTGTTTGCTAATAATTTCACTGTATATTTATCAATTGTTAACAAAATCGGCACAGATGCATACTTTCATACAGGGAATATTATTTTATGTATTGTTCAACAGTTTGTTACAGGGGACGACGCGTGAATGATTCCTGATGAGGAAATCAACTGCTAACTTTTTTTCGTAGTATACTAATATCAACATCGATTCATGACAATTGCATTTCTTGAATCATACTACATATTATACACAAGATGTTCAAGTTTCCATGAAACCGCACCCGTCCTGATATTCATATCCATCGAATGATTGGAATCCCGTCAACCCGTGAAAAAGTCAACTTCAGCACCCTGTATAATCCAAACTATTGAATTTAGAGCGTTGATAATTGGGACATCTGATCAGCATCACGAGTTCTACGATATAACCAAAATTCGAGAAAATTCACCGAAAGCCAATTTCCCCCCTATTGCGGTGCGGGGTCCTTAACTATGGAAATGTGTCTCATTAATTTGTTATTCTACATTGTTTCCGAAAAAATAGTGTACGCAAAACGTACAAAAACAGTTTTTTTGGACTCGCAAACTTCCAGGGCTCGCCTTACTATGTCATGAATTCCATCGGTTCTCAAAGTTACACCAGTTGAACGTTATTCCTTCCCCCCCTAGCAACATGAACCCTCGCAGCAGGGAATCCCCGATCGCCGTCCCATCAGGCTACCCGTTCACCAACGGTTACCAACCGCTATCCTCCAACAACCACACCAACCACAACAACCACGTCAACGGTGGCCAGCTGGACGACAAGCGCCGCCCCTCGTCGGAGGACGACGACGAGGACAAAAAACCGCCCATCGCGGCCTGCCCCGCCTGGCGACCTCATCAGGCGCCACCTGTCGACGGGCAGCCCGTCGACGTCGTCAAGACGGAGCCGCCCGAGGTGAGGCCCGAGCGGGAGGCGGAGGAGAGGGGGCGGGCGCAGGGTGGGGGACGGCAGGGGAACGGATTGGGTGTGGTCGCTGGGGGCAGGCTGGCGAACGGCAGGGGCAGGCAGGGGGGCGGGGAGCGAGAGGCGGAGCGGGCGGGCAAGTATAATAAGGTGAGTGGGGGTGGGTGAGGGGGTTCTAGCGTTTTTAGGGTGGGTTGTTGGGATATTTGAACTCGAGTTGTTGCTAGATTAGGAGGACGTGCACTGAATCATAACGCCCCCTTAGAAGCAATAAAGAAAATGAACAATAAGTCCGGTAAATACTTCTTGCATAATATTGATCAGGTCAAAGATTCCATTTATATTCTTGACTCCCTTCACTGAACTAGAACTATTGGAGCTGCTAAAACCCAGACTGAATAATTAATATTCGGGTTATGACGAAATACCCAGTTTCATCCTGAGAAGTGAAACCAGTCACATATCTCATTAACCAATACTTCGAATCGGGGATCTTTCCAGATTGCTTAATTATTGCAAAAAATATCTCCTATACAGAGTGGGCTATTGAAAACGAAACAGCGGCTTTGTAGGTCGGCAAAACCGGATTATGAAAAAATCTGAAACACGTCAACTATATTTTCGAGGGGAGGGGGACATCGTTCTAAAATATTTTCAGCCCTGCACCTTGTTTTTCATTGCATTTTCAGATTCTCCCCGAAGAGCTGATTTCATCAATGCATCACACTTGGGGTCTAACTGGAATGATTCAGGGATAGGGTGTTGAAAATCGAGATTTTTCAACTTTGGGATTTTTTTGTGTCCAAACTTCATTATTGGTCAAAACGGCTTTTATGTCCCTTTCTCAACTTTTGATTTACTATCAACTGACATTTAATTGGAATTGGAACAGATACAGGGTGATCAGAATTCTGAATCTTGAAGCACCCTGTATATTTTCCAATTAAATTCCAGTAGATAGTGAATCAGAAGTTGAGATAGGGACATGTGAGCCGTATTGATCGATAATGAATAGTTTCGATACAAAAAAAATCCTAAAATTGAAAAATCTCGATTTTGAACAGCCTATATCTCTGTAATCATTCCTGCTTGACTTCAAGTATGATACATTGATGAAATCAGCTCTTCAGGAAGAATCTAAAAATGCAATAAAATGAAGGGTGTCCCGTTAGAAATAACAAAGTCGCTGATTGTTTCTGATAGAAGTGGCAACACTGTATCGATGAAAATATTTTAGACGGATAGAGAATGTTCAATTATCGAAGCATCCCAATTTCCAGAATGTTCTATCTTTTCGTTCTCCAGATAATTCTAATAGGCCATCCAACGTGGATCAACCTGTATATTTTATTGAGGTTATGTTTCGTCAGTTTTAGAAACATTTAGATTTTTTGGTATTGATCTAAGGTAGATGTTGAACGCCAGACGACAATGCTGCGATTTCTGGCGTTCTACAGCTGCCTTGGAATCTATATTTTTCGAAATTGTAACATCGATAACAGAATCTCGTTATGATGGGAGTGCTGTTCTGTCAGATTTCCATAGAATTTTGTCATACGGTTTCTGAGGAAATTAAAAAAAATATGTTTTACTGTCAAGGTAGTTGACAGACTTTTTTTACAAAAAAAAATAATTTTGACAAGAGTTTTGAATATGCCTTTTTTTTTCTAAAGTTACATTTTCAAGGTATGGCCTCAATGCAAACATGAAATTTGAATTATTCAAAAAAAAAAATCAAACAATCTCATAGAAACCCCCTATATTTCGATCTAGAACTATATCATATTCTCAGTTTTTCGCAAAATTCAATTTTGAATCATGAAACGTGTGGACGGAAACGTTTCAATATTCCACGGCGTCCTGTTAATAGACGTTGTTTCAATTGCAAGGTGTCATCGTCAACTGACAACAGGATAGCTAGGGTGAGTCCTGACAGTCAAACGGACGGGATGCCTGTTCCAGAACCCGACCCTTTGCCCTACACTGGCTCGGATGCCGATTTCGTCGAGAAGGAGAACGAATTTCCAGACTACAGGAAGTAAGTTGGTTTATATCACCAAAAATTGCCTCTATAAAAATCGCAAGCTAACGAAGTTTGGAAACACGTCGATAGAATTGGCCCCAGTACGGTTCGAAGTTATCACCATTCGTTTGATCTCGGCGAAACAAGGAATCACTAAATGCCGCGAAAATACTATCTCTCTGCCCACGGACAACTTCACAAGCGTTTTCTATTTGCTGTCTCAATTCTTCCACGGTGTTCATTTCCTCACGACACACCAAGTTTTCTAATATCTCCAAAGGAACCACATTCAAAGGTACATCTTCAAGTAATTCGGGCAAATTGTTTCGTCAAAATGCTAAATGATGTTCACCTGTCATTCGGGTGGGAGAAAGGATGACCCGATAAGCATTCCACCGAAAAGCCCCTTTTGTAAAATTTGTATATCGCTACTTCAAAGTTGGGAACCAATTCCCCAGAAGTCGAAACTTGTGCGGGATTAGGAAGAGCGGGACCTACAGCTTATAGTGGATGCGAACCACTTCTAGGGCATCGAGGTGCTGCCAGGATTACAACCATGAACCACACATTTTAAAGAAAAATGCTCAGCCAATAGCCGGATTCGAACCGACAGTACCTCTGCATCTTGAACGGCTATCTAGCGAATTTCAGCGCATAGACAAACTCGGCCACGGAGCCCAGTCCAAACATTCAACGAAAATCTTTGCTGGAAATGTGTTCTGCTTACACCGTGAGGATTTTCTATTGCCCAAATATGGGAATTATGAAAGCTAGTCACCCCATTTCGTATAAATGTGGCTTCGTCTGTAGCAAAAATGAGTTTTTTAAATAGTTCATTGTTATGGTGCTAACTCAGAATCCATAGACGAAATTCAACCCTCGCAGGACGATCTTTGAGGTTGTAACTCTTGAACTCTTCGATAATGGTATCGATAGAATTGTTCTTGTTTCATTATCTTCCATACTTGTGAGCCACTCCGACTTCTCCTGCTTAGTCCTAGTTCTCATTGTTAGATCGTCATTGATCAACCTCTACCCACTGTAGAAGCAATATTATGGAAGTTATTCAGAAGAAATATCAGTTTTTGTGAACTTCACATCTGACTGGTTGAAAATCATGTTGGTGCATCTGCGGTACGTTAATACTGAAATGTCAATACTTTCAATAGTGCCAATAGTGTCACGAGTAAAAAATCAAGAATGGTATATCAATAAATCACTGATTCACTAATGATCAAGAAACTCATGAGAAACGTTTGAACCTATAATAAACTGGATGTGAGGGTTCCAAAGTTATCTGGTCGGGGACTTCTCTCGACTCGTCGTAATGGTAATCATCATAACATTGTTATTAGGTCTTTATACTATATTTTATACTCGAATAGTCTTCTGATTTCAGCTACTCTTAAACTATCTGTGTCTAATTATTTGAATAAATGTTTGTTATTTTGATATTGTCTCATTCCGACTATGATATGTATGTTTATTATTGGAAACTTTCGTATTTATTAAATTAATTCTCTTTCATATTGTTATTTTTTTACTTGGAGAATAATACATAGATATGTTAGTGTTTTTATTTATAATATCGACTATGATTTCCTCGTTTCCACACAGTCATTTCAGTAAAAGGTTGAAACTTTATTTTATTCTTACGAAATCATATCTGGACCGATTTTTTGCACTCAAATGAAATATATTCCTACTTCCTACTGCAAGATCAAACTTTTTTACCAAAGACCGATAATAATAGCGTTGTCCATAAATGAAATAATCTGGAATATGTAACAAAAATGTGACAAGTAATAAAATTGACGACGATATGACATATTTTAGAATGAGAGCAGGTGCATCAACATAATTTTCAACAAAACAGAACTGGAGTTCACAAAGCATAATGTTTCTCCTGAATAGCTGCTATTAGTGAGCTGAGTGGGCTCCTACAATGAGATTCCATGGAAATAAAGCCATTTGAGTAATAAAACTTCCATAATGTTGCTTCTACATTGGAAGAGCTCTTTAGGTTGGCACCTTGGACTGAAGCCCCCATCTCAGCCATTTCGGATCGTACAGGTCTTCCCACATGTCCTCTTTGTTTCTTCATCCTGTGTCACGATAGCTATACACCAAATTGATGAACATTTTCGGCCTTGGATGATATCCTAACGGAAATCTTTCCTTGTACAAATGAAATGCTGCTGCTGCTGCACATGGCGAAACTGGCCATGAATCGAAAGCATGTCAACAAGGTCTTTATTTTCGTGAACGTGCGCCATTATTTAACAATTCACAGAAAAACAATTGATGAAGCGGATCCCATGCGATTCGTACGGCCAGGACTGTAATAAAATTCTTTTCCAATTCATGAAATGTTCAATTGATAATATCTCCGTTATTATGCAACTTATATTGATGCAATATTTAGTGATCTGTCTATTTCAATGGATGATTTTACATATTCCTGAAAAAATGCCTCATTTTTGAGAACACCCTATATCTTATTTGTATGAAATGCAATAATGAAAAATGTAATGCAGTAGCTGAGATAAATAAATTTAATTGTTGTTATTTTTCATTCTTCCAGGCAATATGTTACCATTTTCGATCCTGACCAGAGAAGGAAATACAAGGTCGATTTCAACGCGGATTATGCCGAATACCGCGACTTGCATTCTATCGTCGAAAAGGTTTCCAGGAAGTTTGCCTTATTGGAAGAACGTCTGAAACAAGAAGACATCAACAGTCCAAGATATAAAGTAAGATATCAAGTTTGTTCCAGGTCGTGTTATTTTTTTCTCTTCTTCAAATCAGTTAGTTTTTCGAGCAAAATTACTGCAAAACAATTTTCAATTGCAAAAGAATGTTTCCCTGACACTAAAGCTGAAGTGTTCTTGGTGTTTCGGAAAGATACAATATCAGAATATCCAGAGTGAGTCATGAGAAACTGTACATATAGTTATTCAATTCGTCCCATCTTTTCATAGAACCCTACCAGCTGGTGGGGATATAAGTGACTCTTTGGTGTCGGTCGCTTTCGAAAATGGCAATTTTATATTTTATTTCTGCAGATCACAACACAATGAAGTGGGAAGAAGTCAAAATACATTCTCATTAACAAATGTACATTGCATTTTTATAATAAAACTTGATTACACAGAAAAATTACTTGGACCTATTAACCTTCATTAGGTCACTTGAATTACCTTCAAACATCAACCGATGACAGACGGTAAAGGTGGGTAACTTTTTAGGATGCCAGTCAATGCCATTTTGGAGACTCTCTTCAGATTCCTTTTCTCGTATTTCCTCTTCTGACAATGAAGTTGGGACATTTAATTTCGCTTACACTGTACAGTTTCCGTGACTCGCCTTCTACGTATCAAGCTCCTTCCTGTCTTGAATGAAATAAAGAACAAATGTCTCATCAAGCCGTTTCTCTCTTCGGTGCTATCAACATAGCCGCATTGAAATATAGGTAGGTCTATTAATACTTTCCTTGTCCGCCATCTTATATGTGCTATTGAACAATTTCGATGTCATGTCATAAATCATAGATAGTAATCATGTCATTGGCAGCATTTTGGAGCCATCATATAGGACCATTCATAAATGCGTTCCATTCAGGTCGAATTCAGAAACGACCTAAATGAACTAGTTAGTAGGCGAAAAATAATATTGTAAGTATTCAATAACCCAACATTGTAAAGCCGTGTCTCACGGTCCAACAATTTAATCAAATTTGTTTGATGTGACGTCATTCTTGCCTGTTTGACTCAAATGGTTTGAAATGTCAAGAAATTTTTGTCACACGATTTGAAGATTTTTGAACAAAAATATTGGTTAAGTAGGTTCTCTAAAATGGGAAAAATCACAAGGAAAAATTCATTATATGGTGAGTATTCTGTGTTGTATCTGTAATACAAAGTGATCAAAAAAAGAGGGAGATATGTAGAAGATAATGGCTTCAAAGAAGAAATATTGGTAGAGGAGTTCTACCTATGATTTCTGATGAAGTCAGACTGGATCGAAGATATCCCATAGTAAACTTCAGAACTACCTACAAATGGATGGAGTATCATGATTCATGATGAATTATGACATCGTAGATAGAAAGGAAACAATGAAAGGTTGTCTTTGTATTTCGACGTTGGTAGCACTGAAGAGAAAGATGGGAGCAGAGAGAACTAGAGAGACTATATGAAATAGAGTGGCGACAATAGACCTCAAAAATGGCTGCCGTTTCCGGAATGTCATTCGTGGTCAAGTCATTGAATAGCTTAAGATCTCAAGGGTATGTCCCATGCAGTAATGAATTTGCGCCTTCGAAGTTTCCACCTGATATTTAGTTAGTTATTTGTTATTTACATTTCATCATCTCTGACAGTTTAGAGTCCCAAAAGACGGATTCTAATAGTTGATATCCAAGGTACCGAAGTCTAGAGTTTCATGTCTGATTGTTGAATGTTTTGTGTCCAAAGAGTGAGAAACAGTAACAAAGTGACATAGGATGCGTAGAACTGCTGGGAGGAAACAAGACAGGCAGATGCACCTCCATATTTGAGGTCTGACCAATCAAAAAGTGCATCACTCTATTTTATAAAGTGCCTCTAGAGAGAATTATGCACTCTCTCTCGTTTGCTATAGTAAAGAGTAAAAATAACAACGATGATATTTGATAGAAGTCCACATTGCTCAAAGGGAAGTGGATTTTTTGAACAAAGGAAGGAAGGAAAGCTTGAAGTCATCTCTACAAAATTTACTGGAGTTGTTGAACGATCAGGGACATGTTTTCGTTTAGAAAAGTACCATCTTCAGCATAATGGTATTGTAGAACTTTCAATCAGGCTGAAGAAGTCTTTTCTGTGACCAAAACATGTCTCTGATCGTTTAACAACGCCATACAACTTTGTGGAGACGCAATCGAGCTCGCCTTCCTTCCTTCCTCTAACAACATCGATGATATTCAAGGACATCAGGAGACAAATAGTGAGCGAATACCAGGAGAGCAAAAAGGACGCCGAACACCTGCGCGCGAAACGCCGCTTCCAGTACTTGCACGACAAGCTGTCGCACATCAAGCGGCTGGTGACCGAGTACGACCAGCAAATGGCCGACGGCCGGTACTGACCCTGGCCGGAGGCCGCCGGCCGCCCCCGTCTGATCGACATCACGAAGAAATGCGCTACGAGGAGGAATTCGTCGATTTACGTTTGATCGGTTTTGTTTTTGCGTTTTTTTGGTTTTTATTTCAGCGTCGAAAGAGGAGTCAACTGATGTATCTGGTCGTGGTGGGCTGAGAGGTGGCTAACTGAATTTATTTCGAATTAGCTCGGTTCTTTTTCTGGAAAGATTTCATTTGAAAACGCGCGTCAACGTATTCGGTCATGAAATGTGAGAGATGGCCGACCCTGGAGGTAAATCAACCTCACCTCTCTTATTTGATTATAAACCAAGTATTTCAGTCGACTTCCGAACGTGTTGGTGAACAGATGGCGATCACGTGGTCTAGAAGTCAGGTTAATGTTTGTAATAGTCCAAAACCTTTCTAAAATCACCTGATCTGGATGCAAATCCATATTTAATTTCAAGTTTATTAAGTGTGTGATAAAATTATGAGGCCCTTGTATGTCTGCGCCGGTATAGAGGCCAGATGATGACGGATTCATCGGATAAGGTAACCAGGCCGGATCAACAACGGAATTGTTGGATAAGAGGTACATATACGATTGAAGCTTTGGGCTATTATGATAGAGAATCGGTGTCTTATGTGGTAAGTCGAGTGATAATACTATAACATAACCTGTATATAACCAAGTAATTATTCTTGAAGAAGTTAATTACCTGATCTGAAGAAATTGTTACCGAAAGGAGACAGAAATTCAATAAACCCGAAGAGGATTGTAATAGTTTTTCACAATCATTTTGGCATTGGAATTATGTTTTTTAGGCCATTTATTTATTCAAGCATGCCATCAATACAGATTGTTCAGGTGAATTGTGATCTAAAAGTAATGTAGTCACTCAAATAGTTTTCATTTTGAAATGTTGTCATTTCTCTTTAAAATTCCTTCTGCCAGTTCTGCAATAGAAGGTAGGTAATAGAGTGAAAATGTCCACAACACACACGACCATATTCCGTCAGCATGTCAGACCAGTCCTTCCGTTTGATTGCAGGAATGCAATCTTCTAGCTTTCTTTCAAAAACTTCACCAGCCTTTCTATTAGCTCCTATTGCATGCGAGATTCCAATGAGAAATGAGTACCTTTCAAAATGAAAGCTATGTGAGTGACTACAGTACACTTAGATTACAATAAACTTACCTGAAAATCTTATTCCTCCGTCTCTAGCTGCATTTTTTGTGCATTGTATGACAGCACAATGTGATGCCATGCTTGAATTGATAAATAGCCTAAAAAACACGATACGTATGCTAAGATAAGTGTGAAAAAATATTTCAATCCTTTTTGAACATTGGAAACAAATAAACAAAGTGAGGTTGGTTTTCCTGCAGAGTCTGTCATCTGTCATATGAGCACGCGACGTGTGTAATACGAGGAGTAATATGTCGATATACGTTTGATTGGTTTAATTTTTTGCGTGTCATGTTTATTCAGCGTCGAAAGAGGAGTCAATTAATGTATCTGATCATGGTGGGCTGAGATGTGGCTAACTAAATTTCGACAGATCGTTTTTATTTCTGGAGAGATTTCATTTCAAAACGCGTGTCAACTTCTATGGTCATGAAAATTCGGGTACTAACCTGACCCTTCGGATCGACATCACGAAATGTACAGTATGTCCAGTTTTAAATGCTTTTGCGCGATATCTCAGTGATCTTTGGAGATAGACAGATAGAGTGTTGCGGTTTGCACATTACTGTCTTACTTTTTTGTGAAACGAATGATGCCACAAACAGAATTTCCACAGTCCTTCGTGTTTTCGAGATACAGAGCGGAGTTGAAAATTCTCACTTTTCGAGCATCTCTACCCCGCAGCAAACTCGCCCTTTCTTTTTCCACTTCGTAAATGAAACTTTTCAAGGAAAAAAAAAAATCATATAGCCAGCTTTCAGTCAGAAAAGGAGAACGTCCGAAAGAAGAGTGGATGAGTCGAAAGTGAACCAGCAAATCAACGACTGTACGTATTTGTTGCTTCAAATGCATTCGGGTGGGTGAATCACTACAATAAAGACATTACACGAAAAAACTTTACTATGTCCAGTTGCAAAATGCGGGAGAAAAATAACTCGAACATTTTCGGATTTTCAGGAAAATGTCCGTGCGTGAGACATAAAATTTGAAAAGGATCATATTGAACCCATGCGTTCGCTTTTGGCGAGGTCAAGAGCACGGTAAGTATCAATGACCTTTGCAATGTACTTTGGACGTTCCATAATTATTGAAAATAGTCGTTCTCGTACAAAACCCAATTTTATTTATCTCTCTAATATAAGAAACACCCATACTATTGATTATTTATACTATTATTTTTCTTTAAATTATATTTCATCCATTCAATGGAAACTTTGAAAAAAATGCTTTCTTTTTACAAGAGCTTTTCATCAAGGTGCCACGAGTAGTATCAAATCTATGAAAAGAAAAATTCATACATATACACGGTGTTTCAAAAAAACCTAACCCCCTTGCTAGGGTAGATAGAACATTGCAAAATAAGTTGGGTTTGCTCAGTGAAAAAATGTAACGGCATCCGTTTTCATGATACAAGGTGTTGAGAAAAATATTTTTTTACACATTTTTCACGATTATTCCGAAACTACTGGCAACATTGTAATGAAATTTTGTATGGATGTTTCTTGAAATTTGACACATCGCATGAATTCGTTTTCAAATCTGACTCTCATAGAGGGCGCTAGTTCGTACCGAGTAGATTTGAACATAACTTTTTTGATGTTAGATTTTTCAATCCAAATATGATATGAACTTGAACATCATTCAATTTTACACCAAAAAGGTACTCTTGGTGAAACTCGATACTATGTTCCGTTTTCGGAATATTTCGATTTGAGAATAATGGAGTAGTAATGATGCTGGTATAAAATGAATTTTATTGAGTTCAATTACCTATTTATTCACGTTCAAAAACAATAAAATGAAGTTATTGATGGAACAAAGAATCATAAGTAGATAATTAAGAGATATTCGACTAGAAACATGAAATATTGAATCAGTTAGAGTAAGTGTTCAAAATGTCCTACGTTTCGAGGAATACACGATTCTTTATTCTTTGTTTAAGAATGTATCATTCTTCTGAACAGTTGAGGATCAGCTGTTAGGTCATTTAAGTGTTGTTCAATTATGTCTCACAACTCTGGACGTGAATTTACCCTATGTAGCATAGACTTTCTGTTCAAGATACAACAAAACTGTGTAATCCATGTTCTTAGTCAAATCTTATTCAATGTTATTCTTGTGTTTCATTGGTAAATCAATGAGTTTTGCATCAGAAATGTATTGTTGTTTTCGGTTTTCAATGAATAGGTGATATTTTTTTATAATGCTCACTCAATACATAGCTTTATACCAGCAACAGTTACCACTTCATCATTTTCAAATCGAAATATTCCGAAAACTGAACACCGAATCGAGTTTTACCAAGAGTACCTTTTTGGGGTGAAATTGAATGATGTTCAAGTTCACATCAAATTTGGATTGAAAAATCTAACCTCAAAAGAGTTATGTTCAAAACTAGTCGGTACGAACCGTGTAACTAGCGCCCTCTATGAGAGTCAGATATAAAAACGAATGCATGCGATGTGTCAGATTCTAAGAAACATCCATACAAAATTTCATCACAATTTGCTAGGAGTTTCAACATAATCGTAAAAAATGTGTAAAAAAAACATTGTTTCAACACCTTGTATCTTGAAAACGGATGGCGTTACGACATTTTTTTACTGAGCAAACCCAACTTATTTTGCAATGTTCTACTAATATATTCCATTTTTATCATTTTGTGTTTTCTAATATTGGAAATAATGTTCAATAGGTTATCTATTTTTCATGTGATTGGTATTTTCCTTTGATTTCATGATCATGTGACCTTCTCTGCTGAGCATTTATTCACACATTCTCCACTTATTTTTGATGAGCATAAAAAATTCAAAAATTCCTTCAGAACTTTGATGATTAACTTTTTTTTCGTATCTTTGAACAAGTCATTGGCCATAGTGAAGGTTTTTCTTGTAGCATGGTGTTCATAACAGAAGACAGTTGGGTGGGTATCCACCAAAATGCATTTAGTTTGGTGGAAGCATCGAATGCGTCATAGAGTCGACTTTGACTGTAATTTTTTCCTAATTGATGTATCTAAGAAAAAAAATGACCGACAGTTTTTGTTGCTCTTGAATGGTAGTTGAATTGTTGAAGCCGTTTCTTATATCACAAAAATCAAACGATAATTATTGGTGCACCTAAATCACAGAAAAAAAATGTTTTGCGTTCTGATCTTATACGGTGATTATTTCTTTCGAGAAGAAATGAATTGAACGCTAGATCTTTTCGAAAATATTCGTCAGAAATTCTTTCGGTCTTCAGTGCCGCGACATTTCGTCGGAAATCAATGGTTGGAAACAAAAATTATTAGAATTTTCATGAAATTATTGAGAGCCAGGAAATTTTGGGTTATTTATTGAACATAATAATTATCCAGAATTTCATTTTTGAAAATGTCCAATACTCCTGAAGCTACCTACATTATTTGGAATTATGGCAACACACTGTCGAATTTGAAATTGAATGAGTTTATTCAAATTTACTTGGTTATTCGATGAATATTTTCTCGAAGCCAAGTCATGCCTTGTCAATGGCAAGATTCAATATTTCAATTTTTTAAATATGTCAATTGTACAGGGTGTCTCCGTATATTTTGACCCCTACCTACAGCGTCAACTATACGAGGTAGAAAAAACTTCTAATATGGAAGTTGTAGGGTTTCATCTTTTGCCACTTCTTGAATAAACAAATAGGAATCACAAAATAGGAAAAAATAGAGATATTTTTCTCATGTTTACAAATACATATAGGCTATATTGTTTTTTCAAACCATTTTTCACTTATTTAGAATTGATTCAAAGTTGCCCACATTATTTATATGGCTCAACAGAAAT